ACGATGACATGGCTAGAGTTATTCTTTTTTTTTTTTCTTAACCAATCACGAAGTGTGTTAATGTAATAATATTATTTGCCACGATGACTGCTGCGACCTCCCGTACATAAAAATATTTTAACGGTTGGCTGCTGAGGATGCTACATTTGGATATCGAGAAGGTTTTACTTTTGACCAAATATATATATATATATATATATCTGATTTTCGTGAAGCTGTTGCACAAAATGGAAAGCAACAAAAATTCCCATGTTTACTGTTCAAGCTTATATTATGTTGTTTTATTTTATTTTTTAATATTTCAACTCTCTCTAACAAATTTTCCGACAGTAATCCACGTCACAGGGAGTAATGTGAAACCAGTTCGCCACCTTATTCATTCTTGGATACCAATTGAATCTTGTAATGACAAGCTGGTCAGTAAAGCCATTTCATTAACCGTAAAGAAACGCTAACCATGGTTAAGAAAAAAAATACATATATATATTTAAACAAATTGAACTTTGGATTCACATCATTTTCCACCTTGTCATTCTCATGCTCAATCAACGGCGCCTGATAAGGACGGTTAGATGCTTGGCCCGGTAGGTTTACTAAAATTCCAAAAGTTTTCAACCATCGACCGTAGATTTTGGTGGAAAATTTTTATCTTACTTCAAAAGGTAAATTAATAGTACTTAATCTATAGAATAAAGATAAATATTAAGAGGAGATAGGAAAAAAAAAGAATTTAAGGGAAACTATTTTTATTATTTTTGTGAGTCTATATGTGATTGTTTCTCTCTTCTTTATGTTTTTTTTTTTTCTGAAAATAAATCCAATAAGTAAATATTATTAGTTTTTCGTTGAGTATTTTAAAATTTCTCAAAAAAAATTCATTATTATCCTTTACAGTATGTTTGGTGGTCAAACAAGTTTGTTTCCTTCTTGGCCTTAATACCAGTAACTAAGAAATTTTATTTTTCTGAATGTACAAGATACACAGAAAAATTTAGTTTGACGGGCATCTTCAAAATTGTATGAAAAAAAAAATTAATCTTGATAGAAAATTTGGACGGTGGGAGGTGAGGACGTTTTGTAAGAAAATGATGCCTTTCAAGTAGGAAAATGAATGAAAAATGAGCTTAAATGAGGAAATGCAGACATGAATTGACATATAGTACTTAGGCATTGCACTAAAGAATTTTGGTGTGAAATGAGTCTTTACAAAAAGAGTTCTCTGAGTTCAATTTTAGTGTGAATTTGATAAATAAGTCAAAAGTTTTTAACTAAGATGATTGACGGGCATTTACATCGATAGATTAATTTGATGTCACACTCAAATAGTCAGTCAAATTAATATATTTGACATTTAAACATTAGTTGTAAAATAAGATGTCGCAACCAATAAGATTGTAATATTTATATTGATTTTTGTGTTTGGAGTTTACGCTAAATATTTAGGGATTGATTTTGTCTCTACTCTGTTTGTCAAATAAAGTTTAGGAACTTAATGGTTGTAGTTTTTAACAAATTCTGCATTAATCCTTCTAAATCACACTCTCCCATCACTTTTCGTAATATCCTATTTGTGAGCAAAAGACCATACTTGTATTCTAGGCTCACAAATAAGTCTTTATGACTAAGAGTTGATTCTAGTCACAACATGAGAAAAAGATGTTAAACATAGTGTTAGCTCAAGATGAGACGAGCATCTAATGAATTTGCTCAATTTTTAAGCAGGTGTGCATTCTGCTCTCTTTTGTGTGAAAAGTTTATGTAACTGTTTTTTTTTTTTTTTTTAATGAGATTCATATAAATGAACAAGTATTCAATTATGAAAAAATATAAAAATGAAAACAACTCTTGTTTAGGAATAAATTTGAAAGGATATGCAAGTTAGAATAAAAGAGAAATACATGAAAAGAAAAAAAAAATTAGAACTTGAGAGAAGAAGAGAAAAGAAATACAAAAATATTTTTCTTTGAGATTGCACACCTCTTCAATAGGTAAGGAGATGTTCATTGAAACACACTCTCTCCCTAGGAGTGGTATGCCCCAACTTTTTTTTTTTGGTTCACTTACCTTGCTATTTTAATTTTTGTAAATAAATATCTTACGTTTATATATATATTTCTACAGTTTTTATAGACCTGTTTGTGTCACTCCAAAAATCTAAGAAATTTATGTTCTCATAATATATAAATTAGCTTGAGAATATTTCTTATCCTAAAAAAAAAAAAAAAAAAAATTTACCATTCCAGATGCAATTTAATTAATCACCATCTATTAAGAAGTTTTTTCCATGTTCTCATAATGTATAAATTAGCTGGAGGATATTCCTGATCCTTGAAAAAAAAAATCAAAATATACACCAATCTAGATGCAATCGAATTAATCACCATCTATTGAGAATTTTTTTTTTTTTTTTTTTGCGGAAACGAAACGTCTTTTTTTTTACGTAATTCTTTTTAAGGGAGGTAGTGTGCATCTACTCTTTCTCTCGTGAGAGTGATCTTTTTTTTTTTCCACTTATTTTGCTATTTTTTTTTAATGAATATCTTAGTTTTAGATTTAGAATAAATGTACTCATTTGTTTTTATATAATTCTCAAAATCTTTCATATATTTCTAAATTTCTAGTTGCATGTTTGAAATGTTCAATTTGTCATTCTGATCTATTTTTCTAGCCAAAGGAAATTTTTTTGACCGAAATATTCCTAATTAAAATGTCAAAAAATAAAATAAAATTTGAAAAACTTCAAAAATTGAACAAGTCATGCGACTTTAAGTTTTTTTTTTCATTTTAGTAAATAATATTTTGGTCAAAATTCTACAATCAACAAAAATTTGATTGGAAAGACAAATTGAACATTTCAAAAATTTTCAAAAAATATGAGATGCAATTAAAAATTTTAGGAAAAATGAAAATTTTTGATTATTATACAAGGATAGATGAATATATTTACTCTTAAATTTATTTATAAGTCATGCATACTTGTGTCAATCATTCTAAAAATCTAGAAAATCCATGTTTGAATAAATTAGCTAGACGATATTTTTTGCCATTGAAAAACAATTCACTATCCTAGATGCAATTGAATTGATCACCATCTATTAAGAAGTTTTCTTTTGTTATCTTTTGTTTTCTTTTTTGCTTGGGAAACGAAACGGCCTTTTTTTTACGCAATTTATTTTAAAGTTTCTAATCCTAAGGAAAGGGAAAGTCAACACAATTTTCGCCTTAATTTGATTGTGTTGAGTAGGAAAAAAATAATCAATGTGAGATTAATTTATTGATTAGAGTTGAATATGAAATATTCACTTTCTTTTTAAGGGAGGTAATGTGCATGCATCTACTCTTTCTCTTGTGAGAGTGATCTATTTTTTTTATTTTTTTATACTTATTTTGCTATTTTTTAATGAATATTTTAGTTTTAGATTTAGGATAAATATACTTATCTATTTTTATATAATAATCAAAGGCTTTCATCTCGTTTCTAAATTTCTAATTATGTATTTGAAATATTTAATTTGTTATTTCGATCTATTTTTTTAACCAAATGATTTTTTTTTATCGAAATACTCATGATTAAAATGTCAAAAAAATAAAATAAAATTTCAAAAATAAAACATATATATCATGTGATTTTACGTTTTTTTTTTTTTGTATTTTAATAAATGACATTTGATAAAATTTTATAGTCGAAAAATTTAATCAAAAAGACAAATTGAACATTTTTAAAAATTTTAAAAAAATATAAGATGCAATTGAAAATCTAGAGACAAACGAAAAACTTTAATTATTATAGAAGAACATATGAAAATATTTACCTTTAGATATATTTACAGGTCTTATATACCTATATCTATCACTCTAAAAATCTAGAAAATCCATGCTCGAATAAATTAGCTAGAAGATATTTTTTACCAATGAAAAAAAATTCACTATTCTAGATGCAATTGAATTAATCACCATCTATTAAGAAATTTTCCTGAGACGAAACGGCGTTGTTTATCCAAGTAGAATTGAATATGAAAGATTCAATTGGGATGGAGATCTATTTTGCCGGCTTACTGGAGCTCTTGCTGCTGTCTAAGGTACTTTTGTTTGAGACGATAAGAATTAAGTGGCAGGCAGGACAATAATAAAGACATCTAATGTGACGTAAAGCAATCTATTTTCCTTACACTTATCATCTGGTTTTCATGAACGGTCCAAGTATACACACTCCAAGCTTATCCCCACAATGTCTTAGCTTTTTGCATGACGAGATAGGAAAGGAATCTTGGATGCCCGTTCCCATTGCCTTTGCATGTTGGAAATGCCAAAAGTTTGATTATAACACCTTTGGAGGCTTTGGTAAATGAATTTTAATCCTTATTCTATTACCTGGGGATTGATTTTGAGGAGAGATTGTAGTAATTAAGGAAAATTTTCAATTGAATACATTTAAACTAGATAGTCTATTTAAAATTTATTTTTTTATTGCATTTATAATTTAAAGCAGTTTTTCATCTGAAGGAAAAAAAAAAAAAAAAGCGCAGACTATCTCAGAAAAATAGGTAATTCTTATTATGAGAAAAATGCAAGTAATCAAATAAAAAAAGATATTTTACTTATAAACACAATAAGATTAAAGAAACCCTTGAACGGATGGAAATTTTTCTTAGGATATACTCGAAGATAAACACAAAAAAGGAAGTTGACAAGAACATTTCCTTAACGTACGTAGTAATATATATATAACCAAATCATTCTTTCTATTTTTTGCCATAAAACAAAAATTGGCCAATTTTATTTTTCCCAGGATACTTTCACATGCTCATTTTGACTTTTATTTAGAGAGAGCGAGAGAGAGAGAGTTTCCACAAATTCACACCATACCAAACTTTGATACGTACTATTACTTACTATATATATTTTTATTATTATTATTTTTTTAACGTCTTCCAACCCAGGCATATAAATATTCTCACGGACGTAACATTTTATGATAGAAACACATTTCAAAAGCAGAGATGGGAAACAATCTAGGAGGAGGGAACAAAGCCAAGGTGATGAAAATCAATGGCGAAACATTCAAGTTAAAGACTCCGGCAAGGGCCGGTGAGGTCGTTAAGGATTATCCAGGTTATGTATTATTGGATTCCGAAGTTGTTAAGCATTTTGGAATTCGTGCTAAGCCATTAGAGCCTCAACAAGAATTGAAGGCCAAGAAAATATATTTCCTTGTAGATTTGCCTAAAATTCCTGATGAGGAGAAGGATGTTAGGAATAGCAGGAGGGTTCGGTCAGGCATCCACATGAGTGCCAAAGATCGGCTCGAGTGCTTGATGTTGTCTCGGAGATCGGTTTCTGAACTTTCGGTGGTTAGACCCTCGTCGAGTCAAACTTCCGATGGACCAGGACCGGTTCGGGTGAAAGTGAGGCTGCCTAAGGCCCAAGTGCAAAAATTGGTGGAGGAGAGCAAAGATGAAGTCGAGGTGGCCGATAAGATTATTGATCTTTACATGGGAAATTCCGGTGAGGTTAATGGTGCGGATGGCCACCGGCATGTGCATTGGAAGCCGGAGCTCGGTAGCATTACGGAGAGTTTCAAGGCAACTAAGGTTTGTTATCTTTTAATTTAATTAATTTTAATGTGAAGCATGTGCATTGCCCTGATTTACAAAATAGTTCTGCCTAATTTTTTAAGGCTTTTAATTAGTTGTAAGAAACAGTCATACCCCCAAATCAGGGAATATGTGGAGTAATATTAGTGTCAACATAATTTTTTATTCCAATAAAAAAAATTGATAAATTTTAAATGTTTTCAGCCATGAGAGAAAACCGGTTGTTATCTTGTCGACCTATGATTTACAAGGAGTTTTTTTTTTTTTTTTTTTGAGAAATTAGAAATGGGTTTTTCTTATTCAATATTAATGGAGCCACAAATTAAGTGCATAATTATTCCTCTTTTTAAACATTTTAATGAGTCAAAATTTTCAAACCCAAAGAATTGACCTTTAACGTTGATCAATTTTTAGTTGTTTTCATGAAATCCAATTTTTCCTGAAAATTTAACTGTAGCAATGTCTTCCTTTTTTTTTTCTTCAAAATATTAGAAAAGGTCTCCTGATTGACACCCTCAAATAGAAGTGAATTGTGGGAGAACTAAGTAAATAAAAAAAGAAAAGAAAAGTAAACACCAATTAATAGTCCAAAAAAAGGAACAATATATATTTCTTAATTATACTTCTGAAATTAGAAATTAGAACATTTGCTGTGGTCATCTTTAATGGACAGTTCGTATAATTTATTTAATAATTTGTTTTAAAAAGTTAAAAAACAAGTGTTATAGATATATAAGAATCTAATACTACGGTATAGTTATAATTAATCTAGGGCAAAAGCAAATTGTACAACAAAACAAAAACATGACATGATTCCTAACCTCATTAGCTATAACCCTCAAATGCTGTATAGAGTGAAGAGGGGACAAAAAATTGAATTTCAAGGCACAATAGGATCGTACAATGTTGGCGTGATAGATTTCATGGATCTATCAAATAAATGATAATTAATGAACCTACTCGTGTAGGGTCATATGCCATATAATTATACTCCTAATTTCTAGGCTGTTGCAACTACCCAAATCATGTTGGTTGTTGATCCTTGTCTTAGTCTTTTGTAACATTAGGTTCACATTTTAGCTTTTTTTTACCTAGTCGATTCTCGTTAAATTGACAATTGACAATCACAATGTACTTATCAATAAATTATTGACTTAGGAGTAAACGAATTGATTTTCTGATAAATTTTTTTCTAATCGATTCTCGTTAAATTGACAATTGACAATCATAGTATACTTATCAACAAATTGTTGACTTAGGTGTGAACGAATTGATTTTCTGATAAATTTTTTGTTAATGTATAAGATTTAAATCTTAAAGTAGTATTTGATGGTAAACGTAAAACTTTGTTATTCTGGTTCTAAACAGAAAGATTAGCCTTATCTTTTCTATGAGATGAGAATAGAAAAAAATAATAATTAGAGGGTATTTAGTAATAATCACTTTGTCTATCGAGTACAGGACTATTAAGGAAATGAAACATTAATTGATATGATGTATCCATTTATTAAGGCTAATTTATTATTTTTGAAATATTAATCTAATTGGTAAATTGAAGTTTGAAAAATCTTGAAATAAAATGTTATTTTGGATATTTTTTACATGGAAAATTCTTTTCAAATTGATATTTCTTCAGTACAAATACATTTTTACAAAAATAATTGCACCTAATTATCAAATATACATTTATAATGCATTCCCTTCAAATTATTATGCCCTGATTGCCTGCCTGAAATTCAAACAAAAACAAATTCTTCGTATGAAGTTCTGTAAAATTTTGACTGACATAGTTGGTTTGGTGAAATAAATTTTGCAGAAAAGAGTGAGTTTTGTTCCAGAAGAGGGGGAAATCCATTTAGCTATTGCCTCTCATTAGCAAACCAACTAGTTTAAAAGCATGGAGCTTGGAGATCAGAAGTTGCAGATCGAAGTCCCTCTTCGTTTTAGCTGTAGCCTTTCGTTGGCAACTATATATGGTTGTACATATTTTGTCATCATCTCTTTTTGCAATTTAATTGCAAGATAAATAGCTAGAATTTAGGCATGGATGGATCAGTTCAATTCAACATTTTGATTCAAGAACATTTCCATTCTCTTGATTATTCTGTGGCCAATCATGAGTACAGGCCTTAAGACACTGTTATTTTTGTTTCTAGCAACATTTTACTGTTTCTCTCTTGATCTTTTTGAACTATAACATCTATAATTCCTGAATGAACACAAAATATGTTACATATCTATGAGATTTGCTAGCTAGATAAAGCATTCTTTCCCTCTTTAGTATGCAAAATATTCTACTTCCTTCCTTGAAAAATAAAAATATCCCAATATCACACTTTGTTGTTTGATAACAAAGAGTAGAATGGTGTGAATGAAAATGGAAAGTTTATTTTTAAGTGTTTGATTGAAAAAAATGAACTGAGATTAATAATGAAAATAAATATAGTTTCATTTTTATGTAAAAAGTGGAAATAAAAACAAAAAATGAGAAAGATTTTTTTTTAAGTAATGATATATTATTTTATTTATTATGCGTTGATTGATTATTTCCACTAACATCGTCCTTTACTTTCACTACAATCACTGTTACTTTGTAGGTTATAATGATAATTTCTTTTTAAAAAAATAAAAATAAAATTATTATTATTATTCTTATTATTCTATCATCACTCCTCTTTAATCATTAGCATTATTTTTATTATATTATTACTATTACTATTACTATCACTATAAGATAGTTGTGCCATCACTTTTTCTCCACCACCACCATTACTTTTTTTCTTCTATCGTCACCTCTTACGATGATGGTGTGAAATCTTTTTAAAATATACTATTGTTTTTACTATCATATCTTTCTCTTTCTATTTCACTACTATTATTATCACAATCACATATATTATTTTTACTATCATCATCATAATTAATAAAATTATTTTTTATCTTAAAAAATAGATATTAAAAATTTAAAATTTTATTAAAAAAATTTATTTTTATTCCAAACAAGGTACAAAGTACAAATATTATTTTGATTTTTTAATTTTCATTATAATTGTTACATTTTCATTCCTAATAATTAAAACACACTTTAAAGTTTCTAATCTGTTACAATGTCTAAGTCTAAATTTCTGTAAGAATAATAAATAATGAAGTATACAATTATGATAATAGAAGTGATCATTAATTACTATTTTATTGACACAAGGAAGCGACAATAAGGCAAATTGGTAGTTAATGTCACATTTAACCTGATATTTTATTGCAAAATACTCACATCAACAAAATTAAATTAAGCAAACATGACAACCTGCACTCAAGCTGATCGTGTGTCCTACACTCCAACAGAATCGAATCGTTTTCAATCATGCCCATTAAAAATGGTAATAAAATATTGAAGATCAAGTCACATGCATTTACAAGATTCTCTGTCTCAAACGAAATCATTTCACGGACTTTATTCATTTGTTGCATTGGTCTAAATGGGAAATTAGGCATTGGAATTTGGAAGTTCATCAATTTCAAACTAGAGGAAGTTTTAGTAGAAAAATGGAGAGATTTTTCAGAAATCTTTTTTAGTTTCTGTTTTACAGCCACCTGGTATTTTTAGACCCGTTCCTATGGGGACATTATGACAAGACCAACATCCCTCAGGTTGAATTTATAATCGGCTAAAAGAGTCAAACGTTAATCAGGTTTCGAATTTTGAATTTTTGTTTTGACCTCTTTAATTTTTTAAAAAAAATTTAATTCATCTTATAATTTTCATTTTTTAAAAAAAAATTCAATTCTTGATATTTGATTTGAAGTTTTATACACACGTTGAAAAAAAATCTAATTTATTTTTTAGAAAAATTTCAAAAAATTTCAATATCAGAAATTATATTTTTTATTTTTTAAATATTAAAAATATAAAAATCAGAAACAATAAAAAATAATCCATAATGATATCAATTTTTTTTAAGGAGTTCAATATAAATTTTAATAAATAATTTATATCATAAAACTATTTATATAATTCAGAAATTAGGGTCATATGTAAGTCTGCAAAAGTTGCTTGTATGGACTAAAACAATCATTGAGAGCATGGTTTGGACGGTTTAGTTTGGCTATAAGGAAACATGGTTTCAAAGAGAGTAATTCAAATCATACTCTATTTCGAAACATTGACAAAGGATAGTGATAGCATTATTATTTATGTTGACGATATGATAATTACTAGGAATGACAAAGGAGGAAATCTCTAGTTTACGAAACATCAAGAAGCCGAGTTTGAAATAAGGACCTTGGGGGTTTAGAGTATTTTCTAGGCATCAACATATCTAGATCGAGTCAAGGTATTTTTTTTTTATCACAAAAGAAATATGTGATTGACTTGCTTACCGAAACGAGGAATGCTTGAGTGTAAACTAGTCGATACACCAATTTTTTCAAAATCATGGATTAGGAGAATACTTGAACCAAATCCCAACAAATAAAGAAAGGCGCCGGCGACTTGTGGGAAAGCTAATGTACTTGTCTCATACCCAATCGGATATTGTATATGCTTGTGAGTTTGGTGAGTCAATTCATGCATAATCCTAGTGAGGATCATATGAATGCCATTTTCAGAATCTTACAATACTTGAAGTCATCTCTAAGAAAAAGGATTATGTTTAGAAAATATAACCATTTGAATATTAGTGGTTATATAGACCACGATTGGGTCGGGAGCACTACCGATGAGAAAATTTACGTTAGGATATTTCACCTTTGTGGGTGGAAAGCTAGTCATGTGGAGAAGTAAGAAACAAGAGGTGCTCACATTGTCTAGTGCGGCGGTCGAGTTTAGAGGCATGGTTAAAGGTCTTTGTGAGCTTCTTTGGTTAAAGGAGTTACTAAGAGAAATTGGCTAATTATTTGAGTCTCCAACGAATCTGTTCTACAATAAGAAGTCTCGCTATATAAATTGCATAAAATTCGATTCAACATGATTGAACTAAACATATTGAGGTAGATCGACATTTTATCAAAGAGAAACTTGAAGCAAAAATAGTACGAGTTTCCATTTATTAAATCGAAGATCAATTGGCAGTTGTTCTTACAAAAGTAGTTTCAAGCGGGATCTTTTATAACTTACTTGACAAATTGGGCATTAGCGATATCTATGCATCAACTTGAAGGGGAGTGTTGGCATGAGCTATTATTCCCAACAATTGGGGAGATTTCCTAGTGGTTTGTTTACAGTAGATGTCTTCTTAATCACTAAACCTTATGTATATTTTACTTCCTAAAATAGGAATATGTACTGCCTATATAAGTTTACTTCCTAGAATAGGACTCTGAACTGCCTATTTAAGCATAGCGTCTCTCTTGGACATTGCATTGAAAAATATTGAAAGATACGCAGTTCTGAAGATATGGTGATGGTATGAAATCTTTTAAAAATATATTATTGGTTTTACTATCCTTTCTTCCTTCTTCTATTTCATTATTGTTATTATGGCACTTATATCTATCATTTTTATTATCATCATAATTGATGAAATTATTTTTTAATCTTATTCATCGTAAAAACTAGATATTAAAAATTTTAAATTTTATTTATATTTCTTAATTTTATTCAAAACATAGTATTAAAATACAAATATTATTTTGATTTTCTAATTTTTATTATGGTTCTTACATTTTCATTCCTAATAATTAAACTACAATGTCCAAGTTTCTAATCTGTTACGATGTCTAAGTCTAAATTTCTGTAAGAACCATAAATAATGAAGTGCAAAATTATGATAATAGAAATGATCATTAATTACTATTTTATTGACACAAGAAACCGACAATAAAGCAAATTGGTAGTTAATGTCACATTTAACCTGATATATTATTGCAAAATACTCACATCAGCAAAATTAAATAAGCAAACACGACAACATGAACTCAAGCAGATCGTGTGTCCTACACTCCCACAGAATCGAATCATCCGTTAAAAATGGTGATAAAATATTGAAGATCAAGTCACATGCATTTACAAGATTCTATGTCTCAAACGAAATCATTTCACGGACTTTGTTCATTTGTTGCATTGGTGTAAATGGGCAATTGGGCATTGGAATTTGGAAGTTCTTCAATTTCAAACTGGAGGAAGTTTTAGTTGAAAAATGGAGAGATTTTCTGATATTTTTTTTTTTTCGTTTCTGTTCTACAGCCACCTGGTATTTTTAGACCCGTTCCTATGGGGACATTATGACAAGACCAACATCCCTCAGGTTGAATTTATAATCGGCTAAAAGAGTCAAACGTTAGTCAGTTTTTTGAATTTTGAATTTTTGTTTTGACCTCTTTAATTTTTTTTAAAAAATTAATTCATCTTATAATTTTCATTTTAAAAAAAAAAATCATTTTTTGATATTTGATGTGAAGTTTTATACACACGTTAAAAAAAATCTAATTTATTTTTTAGAAAAATTTCAAAACTTTTCAAGATCAGAAATTATATCTTTTGTTTTTTAAATATTAAAAATATAGAAAATCAGAAACAATAGAATGATTTTTTTTTTTAAAGAAGTTCAAGATAAATTTTACTAAATAATTTATATCATAAATCTGTTTATATAATTGTTTTTTTTTTTTTTTGATAAATGACAAAAAAAAATTGAAAAACCTTGTAAATCTAAAAAAAAGAAGTACAAATAAGTCAAAACACGTACAAGTAAAAAATTTAAAAATGATTTTTTTAATAGATTAAAGATTAGAAAAAGTTTAGCCGCCTTAGCTTTGGTAATCATTTTTCCTAAAAATTTTGAAGTCAGAGACAGAATTCTAGGTCAGGTACCCTGCGTGGAAAATCGGTCAAGAGTTAGAAACATTTTGCTTTCGTTATGAATAGAATTTGGAAAATATTGTGAATCAAACAACCAAAAGAATCCTAAGGGAAGAAAGCCGTGACATGAGTGAGCAAGGCATGACGAGAATACACGTAAATAAAAACAAATTATGCATAAAGACATCAAACCAGGACAATTTTGCCTAACTAGGCCTGTACTTATTGGGAGATGGAAGCCATTGCATCTGATATAAAAAGTCTGCTTAACGTTAATCCTAGGTTCAAACTCTGCTGTATCAGTAGACTAGGAAATGCAGTTGCTGAAGTGACTGGGTAGCTAAATCTGTCAAATTAAACAGTAGCCCTGTGGTTTTCTCCATAAGGCCTCCTAGTCAGCTTATGACTCTACTTGTAAAAGACTTTCCAGCTGGTGAATGAAATTAGTTTCTTCTGTTGTTAAAAAAAAAAAAAGTTTATCTTTTTTTTTTTTTCGTGATATTGGATACAATGGGTTCAAAGAATTTAATATTTAGAATCGACTGAAGGTTAGATATAATTTAATTATAACTTAGTCCAGAAAGTAGATCAATTTTTCATTAGTCGAAATTAACTTTTTCTTTGAGCAATTTTTTAAGAATACCTTTCACATTGGCCTTGTATATTCAGAAGGAGCCTTTAATAAATTTCTTCAAATGTAATTTCAAAATTTAGAATAAAAAAATGAAACAAACCCTCTTCAACATGAATCTAACTCCTCAAGAGTTATTTGGTTATTAAAAATGAACTCGTTCGAAATAAAAATATAAGAATCGGGAATGAAAATTAAGAAATCAAAATGACATTTGTATTTCTATACCGTGTTTAGAATAGTAATAAGAAATTAAAATAAAATTTAATTTTTTTAATATTTACTTTTTAATAAGAACAAGAATTATAATTATAAAATTAATTTTATCAACTATGATGGTAATAAAAATGATATAGGTGATTATGATAATAATGTTGGTGGAATAGGAGGAGGATGAGAAGAAAGTGATAGTAATAACAGTAAAATAATAATAGTAATAATAATGTATTTTTAATAAATTGATATTATCAACATAGGAGGTGACAATGGAAGAAGAATGGTGATAGTTGTGATATAATGAAAGTGACGATGGCCATTAAAGAGGAGTTGTAATGTAATAATTACAATAATGTTTTTTTTTTTTATCACCACCATCAATAGTAGTAGTGGTGATGGTGGTATAAAAAAGCGATGAAAAAATAATAACAATAACTTTTTGTTCAAATTTTTTTTTTATCACTATCATCAATAGAAATGGCAATGATGGTGGTAGATGAAATAATTATTATAATAATTTTTTTATCATTATTATCAATAAAAGTAGTTATGAGAGTGATAATGATAGTGATTGTAGTGGGATGGAAGTAGTTGATATACAATAACTAAAAATAATATATTATTATTTTAAAGAAAAAAAACATTTCCATTCTTTGGTTTTATTTCCTTATTTCCACCATTCACATGAGAATAAATTTATATTTAATTTTTATTCTCATTTTTATTTTATTTTTTTCAATCAATTAGTTATAATATAAAAATAAAACTTTCCTTTTTATTCTAATTACTCTATCTCTGATAACAAAATGGCATGTCAAAGTTAAGTGAGGAATATCTTAAGCATATGTAAGTGCGAGGAACCTATTACTAATAACTTATTCATTCACAACTAATAATAAGTTTTGGGCTGTGTGGATATTTAGGCCTGTCTAAAAAAGTTATATTGGGCTGTCCGAAATTGGGTTAGTGGCTATTGCATTCTAACTGATCAAAGTTATTAGGAATTAAACTTCTCTAACCACTCGCTTGGAATTACGGTAATCTGCTACCAACAGAAAAAATCACTAGAAAAACTAGAAACAACCTTTTTCTTTTGGGTACGAAATATATCCATGATCCTAGCTGAAATCTCCAATGTCTTAGCTTTTTCATTTGGAAACAATCTCCAAAAAATCTCAACTTATTTGGCTCGTGTATTTCAATAATAATAATAAAAAAAAAATTGTGTCAATTTATGGTGATCATTAAATGATGGCTTCTAAATCCATGAACTAAAAATCCAAATCTATAAGAACTGAATCTAATTTGCATTCTTGTTCTAATATAAATGACATGTTTGAGCATTTAAATTCGAACGGTATCAAGAAAATTAGTACTCGTTCGATGTTATCATATTTGTGATTTAGCGTTAATCTAGAATGATGGAATCAGTTTGTTCAACATTGGAAAATGCAGTTGTTGTGTTAGCAAATCTGTATTTCTTTTTCCATGCAAGGTTAGAAGATGCCCAGATGACCAATTCATAAGAGTTAGTAAATAAATTTTGGAGAAACGAGAGGGACTTCCACTATTGTATTTTAAGTTATCCATAAATCCCAACGAAGTTAGGCCCATACACTATCATGAGTTTTCTCTTTTGAAATCACAAATTCACTTGACCCAAAAATATGCCTACTACTCTCCGTTACTTAAAAAAAAAACTAACGTAAAATCATGTTTTACTATTTATCTTATTATTTGAAATATTATTCACACATTCATAAATCATTATTCATTTTATTATTTATGTCACTTTTGCAACATGTTGATCTTCAATTTTTTTATATTTTTTTTAATTTCAAACTTTAATTATATTTTGATTTGATCCCATTTAGTTTTAGTTTTTTAATTATTTTTATTATTTAAAATTTACTACTTTAATTTTTTTAACTCTTTTTTTTTTTTAAATTTCAAACTTTAATTTGTTAATTATTTTTATTATTTAAAATTTACTACTTTAATTTGCCTTCTTTTTTTTTTTTAAAGGGTTAGCCAGCGACCTAGTCTTGGAGAAGCGGGCTCGGTCGGGCTCGGCTTGTAGGGGTGTTCGTTCGGCAATTCGATTCGGTTTCGAACTTTTTTGATCGGTTTTTGATTAATCGAATTGTCTAAAAAAATAACCGAAACCGAATCGAATTATTATTCGATTTTTCGGTTCGGTTTTGAAATATATTGGTTTTTTTTATTCGGTTTTCACTCGTAATTATCTATACTTTTAATTTTTTAAAGGATCATGCATTTTTGAAAAAATAAATTTAGTATTTGCATTGTGATTTTAGGCTATGTTCCTATATGTATACGTTTTTCAATCTCATTGAACTCTGTCTATTTACTATTATTTTACTACTCCTCAATAGACATTACTAATATAATATCAATTGATATATATATATATATATATATATATATATATATATATATATATATATATAATACGAGATGTCATCATTATTATATAAAGTTTAATAATATATAATATATGTTATTGTTTATCAATATCGGAAGATAATATCGTCAAATATGTGTTACAATTAAGACATTTTAACAATTCTTTCTAAAAAGAAACGAGCATGCTTTGAAGCTCAAATATAATCGACTTATTTGTCTTTGTGAAAGACATTTTTAATTAACTTGACGTAATTAGAACTAATAATTTTGGATAACTTGTTAAGCACTACAGCCATAAGCTAACCTTTGCTAATTAAATGGCAATGTTGTTTTTGAACAATGAAGAACATTAAAACTTTAAACACTCAACTTTCTTTAGCGCAATTTTAAATTATATGTATTTACTAAAAAGAGACATGCTAATTATTATTAGGGTCCATAAATTAACTAGTTTTCTTTTACATAGAAAAAAATAGTATCTCACATCTTTTTTTTAAACTATAATTGAATCAAAAAAGAAATTATGTACCTCCTTGAGCAATTATAAACAAGAATTGGTTATGGTCATTTGGCGTTGAGCCGGTTGGCTCATGTAATCAATGCAACAAGAATTGGTTATGGGCTAATTGATTTAACTCCAATTAGCTTAGGTTTGCGTGAGGTTGTAGTGAGGGTGTGAGGATTGGAATGAACGACGTTGTTCATCGATTAATTTAAAAAAAAAATTAATAATTTTGGTTATTCGGTTTTAACCGAATTAAAAAAAAACCGAAACCGAAACCGAAAACCGGCTATATTTCGATTCGATTTTTTTATATAGTTTTTTTAAAAAAAACCACACCGAAATTGATATTTCGATGCGGTTCGATTCGGTTATTCGATTTTCACCGAATAGTAAACGCCCCTACCGGCTTGGCTCACAAACCCGCACAAACGAGTCTCATTTGCCTTTTTTTCCTTCCAATAATTTATTTTTATATTTTTTTATCATGAAATTAGGTGTGAAAATATATTTAAAAAATTATTATTTTTTTTAGTTTTATGTACAATTTGACGGTAATAGAATATATATGATATTTTTTAAGATTTTAGTTTGAACATATATACTCGATTATATTATTTTTATTATTTAAAATTTATTTCTTCAATTGCTTGTTTCTTATTAAAATTCTCATGAAATTAATTTTTTTATTTTTTATATAACTTTATTCGTTAATAATTTGATTTTTTTATATACTGATTTTGAAATAAAATTTAAGAACGCGATTGTTTTATTTTTTAAAATATATTATTATAATTGATACGATTGATTGTTTTTATGATTTTTAAATGAGAGTAGCGTAGTTGCATATATAAATTGTGATGAGAGAGAAAGAGTTAATAGTGTGTTTTAGATAATTTGACTTGATTTTTTTTAAAAAATTAATAATTAGTTAAAAATGATAGGTTTTATTTAGTTATATATATATAATTAGAATTTATCGAAACCAATTTTATAATAGTTTTATTTAAATCTATTCACTTCGATATATTCTATGCGATTTTAATGGGTGTTTTTGTATATTTTTTATTTATTCTATATACCCCGAATACGTTAAGTAAGATACATATATAGTAGGTTTCTTAAAAATTAATTATATTTGCACACATAACACCAATTATTTGTTATTTATTTTTTTCATGTTTTAAAATTTGTATTTTTAAATAAAATAATTTAATTAATGTTTTGAAAGAACCTCTTAATTATTCAAATATAATTTTTTGTACTAATCTTATAAATTATTTTGTTAATAAATATATATATAAATAAAACAAGTTCGCTTAATATATAGATTTGATTTATATTAATATCCAGAAACAAAACTTATACTTGCATCACACCATAAAAATCGTTAACTTTGCGTTTATAATGGTTGTTTGACCGCCGCGTAGCGCGGACATGTAACTAGTCTCTTTCTAAATATACATACATCATGCTCAAAACAATGACTTAATAATTAAATTAGTTTCTCTAGGCATTCTCGATACCACTAATTTTGGTATTTCTTTTCCATATTTGTGTGATAAAGGATAGGGATGATAGTATGTCGGGTACAAAATAGGTAACTGCCTAAGTCTGTTCATTAATTTACTTTTTAAAAATACCCTAATGGATAATGGGTTAAATATGGATAAAATAGTATTACCTATTTATGTTAATGAATAATTAATTCATGAATATAGATATCTTTTTTTACCCCATTAATATCCATTACTTACCCATTAATATTAAAAAATAAACACTAAAACATAAAATTTTAAAATACACAAGCAACACAAACCGATGACAGTACATTGATTGAGATTGTAATTGTTATAAGTGTTTTTTTTTTAAATCTAGATGATAAGGAGTGTTTTTGCAACAAACTCGTGACACTATATTATTATTTGTTTGAATAATTTTAAAAAAATCATTCTCTACATTGACTTGCTCCAAGGATATAAAAAAAAAAAAATCGTTATTTCTAAATTAAAATTTATTTCTAAATTAAAGAAGGTTGCTTGAGGGACAAGTCCTTATTTAAGCCTATTGGAATTTCACTTCAATAATACTATTAAATATGAAAAAATACTTTCAAGAGTAACAGTTCTATGAAGCCAAAATTCATCAGTGTAATTATTTACTAATTTTATTATTATTATTATTTGTTCTAAGACCAAGAAACCTACATGTTAAAAAACCAAAACAGTTTAGCCTAATAAAAATATAGTCTACATAAATCACAAAATACAAATATAACTAATTATATATAAAAAATAGTTTGTAACAAAAAATTGTTTTTAGTAACCAAAAAAAATAAAAAAAGAGTCTTCAATTTAAAAAAGAAATAACGAGTAAAAATATAAACGGAGTATGATAAAGTGGATATAAACTATATAAAGAAATAAGCAAATAATTCTTAATAAATTATGAGTTTATAGTATTCTGTAGTGAATATGATATGAGATTAATTTAATGGGTTGGATATCTATCTGTTATTATCCTTAAAAAAAGAAATGGTTACAATTATATTCAATTTTGAAAGAGGCTAAAAGCCAAACTCAACAAATCTCAATGTCGAAAATCTCATGCATCTTCGACTATTAGTCAAGCAATAACATGATCATTGGCTCGAGATCAAATTCGTTTGTCCAATGGAATGGAGTCATGAAAATTTTCATGAATGGACCATCTGAAGGAATTTTAGTTCAGTGACGGCATTCCTACAACCGAGCTATGATAAACTTGCAATTATTGTTGCTTTTGTAATCATTTGTGCATTAGAGGGATAATGTTTTTACATTTTATTAATTTTTTTATTTTCTTAAAAGTAATAGAAATTAAGGGAAAAAAATAAAATTCTCCATTGATATTTAATCATATTAATGGTAAATGGACCAACTAACCAAACATCTTGGAGCTCGACGAAATCATCGTTTGTTTGTTTAGGTTCCATGTAATATGTGGGCTTTTACCAGCAGTGTTCGAATTCTAAGCTGCTGTCGTGTCTATCTTCCACCAACCTCTACTTTCTTCAAGCGCTCTCCTTTTGCTTTTGCTGCTTCTACAAAAAACAAGACTAATAACAACAAGAAGATGAGCTCTTCTTTCTCTTCCTTTTCTCATTCCAATAAAGGGTGCGTTTCTTATCCTTTCCTTGTATATTATTTTTTTCAAACAATTTTTTGCCCACTTGGGGTTAATTTGATTGTCTCCGGAAAAACAAAATTGGGCAGTGGTGGCAGAGGAAGAGGTTTGGAAATGCAAGACGATAGAGAAAGATCAAGAGGCCGAAGCCGTGGCGGCGGCAGCGGTGGTGGAGGAGGGGGATCTAGTAAGGATAAAATTGATGCTCTTGGCAGACTACTGTAAGCACAATCTTAAAGATGACGCTTTTTTCTTTTTTCTTTTTTGTTATTATCGTCTTTCTTTTTTTGTTGAAATTATGATTTTTTAGGGGAAACAAATGGTGAATGATGTGAAATAATTTTGTTGATTTTGTGTGTTATTGAACATTTTCAGGACGCGGATTTTGCGTCATATGGCTTCAGAGTTGAACTTGAATATGAGAAGTGATGGGTTTGTCAAAGTTGAGGATTTACTAAAGCTGAATATGAAAACATATGCTAATGTTCCATTAAGATCACATACTATTGATGATGTTAAAGAGGTTGGTTCTATAAAATACTTATCTTTGCATCTTTGATCCTGTTGGGCAAAAGGATTTGCTTGGTACCATTTGATTGAGCAATGCTTTCTTTAGGTAAACAATGTGAGTTAAAAGAAGAATATAGCTTGGGGTAGTCTTCTTCGGGGATGTCTTGGAAGATTTCCATTAGTTTCATTTTTTTCTTGTTTGGATGGAAAATTTACTTATTTGATTGTTTCAAAGATTGTCTGATAAAGAGTGATGAATGATTGCCAAGAATGTTTTTAAATTCCTAGGGCATGATCTTAGAACTTTGAGTTGCGTTTTTAGACTGTTGGTATTTTACCATACTCCTTTTGGAATACAAATTTTTCCAACCGTAAAAGCATCAGTGGATAGGAAGTTGTTATGTTTGGAGGTATGATCGATTACTTGCTTACTCTCATAATGTTGATGGCTATGTGTATATCTTTGTACCAGGTAGAACATTTTTGATGAATAAAAAGTACATGTGTTTATATTCTACTTATCCTGCTGTTGACGAAATGATGTTTGCAATTGGTAAAATTACCATAGAAGGTTTGTTCTGTAAAACTTACCCAGCTTGTGAACCTCATATTATTTGAAACTTCTTTTCACTTCACACAATGAAAGTTGGACACATTTTTATGGTTTTTTGTTTTTTAATAAACTGCCCCGAGATAACATCTTTTGTTATTGCAATTTTCAGTCTGTTAGAAAAGATAATAAGCAGCGATTCAGCCTCCTGGAAGAAGGTGGGGAGCTTCTGATACGTGCTAACCAAGGCCACACAATAAAGGTCATAAATATTTACTTTGAAACAAGAATATATTCATCAGAGAGGTTATTTTTGTGCTTATCTTGTGATTATTAGTAAAACTTGGATATTCAAATATGTGCCTTAAGAGAGATTTTGCAAAAATAACATAACAAAATTTGGTTCACGCTCTTTTGCTGGCTCAGCATGGAAATTCCTGACATACTTATGCTTTTAATGATCGCTCAGAACATTGGTAGCAGAGCAAAATAATTAGCTTAACTTATATGGAACATATCTGAAGATCAATCTGGATGAAAATGAGAACTTGGGATGTATTTGTAGTGTTTACATCAGTATTAAAGATATGGACTTGGAGAAAATTTAATGCTGGCTATGACATTTATGTTTACTTTGGAATTTTATACTTTGTTGACTTTGACATGCATGTTCCTCATGCTTGTGAACATCAAAACTGTGTGTTACAGAACTACCTATGTCTCCTGTTTTTCCTGATACCTTTAAATGCTCATGCATGTCATTTATGGTAAAACAAGAATGCAAGTTAGCTCTTAGTTCTCTGTATCTGATGGTGTTAGCGTTATTCATTATGATGTTTTCATTCTTATTGGATTGAACATCTATTCACTCTGAATGAGTTTATTATGCACGTGCAGACAGTTGAATCTGAAAGTCTGTTAGAACCAATCCTTTCACCTGAGGAAATTACAGGTAAAAAAAAATTACTATGATATATCCATCCTCTCAAAGAAAATAATTACTATGCTATAAGACCTTTTCTTTTCCTCCTCCAGTGTGCGTACATGGAACCTATAAAAAGAATCTGGACTCAATATTGGAATCTGGTTTAAAGCGCATGAAGAGATTGCATGTTCACTTCTCATGTGGTTTGCCAACAGATGGTGAAGTGATTAGTGGTAAGATACACGATGAAACTTACTTTTTCGTTGTTCTTCTGCTAGTCACGACTTCATGTTCTGGAGATATCATGTTGTCATTCTTTTAACATTTGAAGGAAGGGCCTAAGTGTTAGTGTGAGTTTTTATCCCAAGGGTGGGGGATGGGGACAGTAGAGTCTGCCTACCTGTTTAGGATGAACTCTTCCAAAAATCAGCAAGCCTTTTGCAGAAGTTTGCCCACCAATTTCTATTCTTGGAAACGAGAGTTGTGGGCCATATATGTTGTGGCTTCTACTCTGAGTGCACCCAATGCCTACAAGAACACCTTTTTGTAGCTTCAATTTTAAAGAATCCCATTGATAGGAGAAGGGAGGGAACGCTTTAGTTGCTATGCAGTAGTATGTTTTGTTTGTGCATGTCACCATTGTTTCCCAATCTGAACCCTTGATTAGCTCCTGTTCAAACAAGCAAGTCTATCCAATTGATATATCACATAGAAAGCATAAATTCTAACATTATGGATGGCTCCGTATGATATATTTGAATTTTTTTTTTCTTTTTTTTCATCTCTCAGGTATGAGACGAGATGTTAATTGTTTGATATTTCTTGATGTCAGAAAAGCTCTGGAAGGTATAACATTAACACCTCTGAACTTTTCAAGCAAACAATAAGTTGGAAGAAATATGAATGCATATTTAGTTCAAAATTTAGGATAATGGTGGACAAGCATGGATGATAACTGATTCTTTGTTCTGTTTTTGCAATTATGTTTGATTTCAGAGGGAATGAAGCTTTACATTTCAGACAATAGGGTGATTTTGACTGAAGGTTTTGATGGCGTTGTACCGGTCAAGTATTTTGAAAGAATAGAATCATGGCCAGATAGACGAACTATACCCATCCAGAACTAAATTTGATTGCTGGTGGTCTTGGCGCGCCGCAGCGCTGCGCTCCTCCCCGCCCTTCTTTTTGATCCGTAGGATGTTAGTTTGCGTTGAAAAGGTGTAGTCAGCTGCCATTGCATGCAAACTCGGCACATATATTGTTTGACGCCAGTGTAAGTTGATATTTTATATCAATCAAAAGGAAGGTTATCAAAAAATCAAGTTGAAGCTATCATATTGATGTTTTATGTATACATTTGTTTGTCAATGCATGAAAATGGAATTCTTCAAACCCCAAACCCTCGTACCTTAGACCATCAATTGTAGGTGCTAGATGGAACGACATGTCATTGAAGAGCACGCGAAGACTCCAAAATCCAATGAATCACATATCGTTTTTGTTTTTGTTTTTTTCGGCCTAGTAACTAATAGTTTAATGGCAAAAAATGTCAATTTCATATTTTTATATTATTTACGAAATTTAAATTTCAAAATATCGAATTTTGAGTAAATCTTATTTAGATGGTATTTTCTTCATTATTTACAATTATGTTGACTGTTGTTTTTCTTTTTTTTGAAAAGAAAATATTAAAAATGTTTTTTTTAAGAGAGATTTTTTTTCTCATTTGTTTACCTATAAATAAAAATATTTATTAAATTTATCATTATTTTTTTTTGTTCTTCCTAAAAAAGAGCTTTCGCTTTTTGAAACTATTTTTAACAAACTAAAAATAAAATAAAAATAGAAAAGTTTTAAAAAATGATTTTCTAACTCTAACAATTTTAAATATATATTATATATTTGAATCAATTGTGAGAATATGAAATAAATATAATTATATTTAAAATTTAGTGATTGATAATCACAAGAATACATTTTTTGACATGATAAAAGAAAAGTTTTAGTAAAAATTAATTAGTTGAATATTTTATTGATCAAATTGAACTAATAAATATTTATATTTTATTAATTATAAAAGTTATTTTTTAATGGATAATGATACTATATAAAAGTCTTTTTTAAAATTAAAAAAATTACATATAAATAACAATTTGATTTATTATAAAAACTAAATGAGTAGATATGTGAAATTTTTAAATAGAAAGAATCTTTTTCTGAAAAATGAAGTTTTCTTAAAAAATTAAGAGAGGAAAAAATTAATAGAAAAAAAATATAGATATAATGATCAATTAGGTTGACGGTTATAAATAACCAAAAAATAAAATTTACTAAAAATCAATTGATAAAAAATAAGATTTAAATAAAATTTACTTAAAAATCCATTGATAATAAATGTTTGAAATTAACTAATTACAATGTAATTATAATAGAAGGACAACCATTTTTGCAATTAAACCAATAGCTAATAATTATCACCGCCTTCCTTGCTTGGATTGCAAAATCACACTCACGCACCTTCGTCTGCAGTGAAAACCCAAAGCCCTCAAAATCCAAAATTGGCTCAAATCAAACCGACAACTTCCAATTTATTCTCTCTGAACTATGCCTCATAGAATAACAAGCAAATAATACCCTTACCAGATCTCACCGAAGATTCAGCGCTCTTAATTTTTTTTTTCCTGATAAAAATAATGGGTAGAAAAGATTGGTTAGTGATGAGATTACCATGGAATGGATGGCGGCGTTCTTTGGTGTTTTTCTTACTTCTGCTTTTCATCCTCCTTAACCTTCTCTATGGTGATTATCCTCTCTAGACTGCAAACTGGAAAAAAAAATTGCAAAATACAAAATGTTTGATACTGGAATTCTTCTTCTTTCTTTTCAGTTCTAGAATTGCATCAGAACCCAGTTGTAGAAGGCCCGCCGAAGAAAAAGAATACGAAATTCGATCATTTAATTCTGGGGTCTGCTGCCGGTCAAGGCTTGCCTAATCGCTTGCAATGCCAAGGTTCTTACAATTTAATTTTCTCTGAATTGCCCGAGTTTTTTTTTCCCTTTAATTTTGTTGATATGATGTGTAATTTATGTTTCCATATGGTGGGGCAGGCACGAAAGCGCTGAACAAGACACATTTGCCGAACTCTTCCAGTGCCGGAGAAAGCATTGCCTTTGTCACTGTCTTTACTGTTTATAACCCTTCATTAGCTGCTGACTCTAGATTATCAAATTTGGTCACTGTTGGGAATGCTTCCTACACTAAAACAGAGAGGTCAATGGCTGTTTTGAATGTCTTCATTAACTTCATCCAGGTGATTTTCTCGGTTTATCATCTTACTAGCATCTAGTTGTGAAATAGTCTAGAGAATCTAGTACAGTTGCTTGTACCCCAAAATGTTTAATTCTGATATGGTATCGTTTTAAATCAGTTTTGGTTAGCTTTTACTTCACTTAGAATTTTTGTTTAAATGTGTATTGGTTGCATCTTTCTAGTTACACTTGTTTTTAGTTGGAGAGTTGGTTCAAATCCTTGTTCCACATGTATGCTTTCAGGTGACAATGCCTCGGAGCAATGTTGTCATTCTGACTGATCCAGCTTCTGATCTTTCGCTGCGTAGAAATAGTGTCACTGTGTATCCCATTCAGGGTGATTATTCGCGAGGCAAGTTGATGCTTCAAAGGATCAGATCTTACATTGTAAGAGCACATCATATTGACATATAGGTAGAAGATTTCTATTTTTGATTAATTGTTCTGTTTCTTAAGGCATATTTCATCCTTTCTCTATGTACCCAATGAGTTTCATTAATTACAGTGTTTATTTTCTTTTTTGGTTTTTTCTTTCTTTCTCTCTCTCTGATATGCTGTCTTGCACGTTGAAGTAAGATTAAGAAGCTGCATATCTTTGATTTATGATGAAAATGATGTATTGTTTTTGTGCTGTCTGTAGACCTTTCTAGAAACTAGGCTTGACGAACTTGCTCAGAACCCAGGTCATATAAGTCATTACATCTTCACTGACTCGGATATAGCTGTAGTTGATGACCTTGGACACATGTTTAAGGATCACCCGAACTTTCACCTGGCTCTTACCTTCCGGAACAACAAGGAGCAACCTTTAAATTCAGGATTTATAGCTGTAAGGGGGACTGCTGATGCAATTTTAAGGTATGTAGTTTGTACTTTTTTCGCTATTACTTCTATTTCCTTTTGACTGTGATTAATTTAAGCAAACAAGTCTGGAATATTTCCTTTCGTTTAGTGGCCAATGTTCTTGAAACACCCGCCCTGTTCTGCAACAACTAAATGGTCACTTAGTTTAGGCATGGCGGGGGTTGGGGGAGGGTTGGAAGTTTTTTTTTTTTTTTTTTTTTACCTCTGCTGTACAGAATTTAAAAGGAATAGTTGATTTTGTTTTAGTGTTCTCTGTTCCGTGCTTTTCCTTACAGTTTCTTGGCAACCATAAAATGTAAACTGATCGAATGTCATTCTTGTTATGCTAAAACATCTGCAATACAGGGCAAAGATTTTCCTTCAAGAAGTACTAAAAGTTTACAGTTCCAAGTTTATGAATGCTTCTCGAATGCTTGGAGATCAGTTAGCTCTTGCCTGGGTTGTAAAATCTCACCCTGGATTTGATTTGAGAAGATTTACCAAAGCACAGGCTTTTCTAGAAAATATTGGTGGTGCTTCAGTGCTATTTCTACCATGTGCCACATATAATTGGACACCTCCTGAGGGGGCAGGCCAATTTCATGGCATGCCTTTGGATGTCAAGGTAATGTCAGAATCATGATCAGCTTAATTACAAACTGAGCTTTATATCCCTTTCATTTGGTCCGACAAAAAAAGAGAAAGAAAGAAAAGAAAAAAATAAATACTTTAGTTAATTGAAGATTGGAGTTTTGGTTTGTCAATTGCTTGGTTTCCTCCATACAGGTTGTTCATTTCAAGGGATCAAGGAAGCGCCTAATGCTGGAGTCTTGGAATTTTCTCAGTTCCTCTTCTGACATTTTTGATATGTTATGCCTTATTCTATTGAGTGGGAGAACAAAGTACGATTTTTGAGTAGTATCGGTGATTTAATTTCAGCATTGATCATGTTACTGGAGGGAACATCTGATTTCGTTCTAAGAACTGAAGATGAATGCTCTGCTGCATCATGTTGGGCTATTAGTTGGCTTGCTTTGTGGGCACCTAAGAGTCTCTGCTAATGAAAGCTCAAATCCTGGTGGTACAAGTTCACAATGTTGGCTGCAGATGCAGCTGATAGCATGGAAACTGGGAATTGCAAAGTTGCCGTGGTTTTGATTTTTCACCTTTTCACTTAACAGAGGACTACTTGGGCTACCTTAACTTCTGCTACTGCAGTATGCCATTCCTATCTAGTTTTTGTTTCCAAAAAATCCATACAACCATGATGACAGAACTACAAGAATGATAAATGTTGCATTTAGTGACAGAAATAGAGCTTTCTTTTCTTTCTTCTTGCCTTGTACAATATCTTTTTGGATTACAAATATTACTGCTTGTAAGCTACTTCACTATCTGGACGCATTTCATGCTTAGATAAAGAGGTGTTCTGTTTATGATGATTTCTAGTTTTTTAGCCGGCCATAATCAGCAGCAGTCATTTTAGTATGGGACTCGAATTCAGCCTGTTAGACTAGAGTCAGAGTTCAGCCCGACATCTCTCCATTTCAATTTTTTTATTAAGTTCTTCTACATAAGTTTTATCATACTTCAGTTATTTATGAAGCTCAATTTGCCTTTTTGAACGAAATCCTGTTAGGCTAGAGTCAGAAGCCTTTTTCGTTTTATTTTTTTTCTCAATTCTAACTGTAGCATAAATTATGGAAGTTCGGAGCTTCTGGCAAGTTGCAATGTGTCTAAACACCCAGGGAGCTCTGTTGTGATGCTGTGAATCCTCTATTAATTCATGATTCTAGTGTTTTTTGTTTGGCCCAATAGGGAGGCTTAGGGATGGCAATTTGCCTTGTCCTGACGAAACCCTCCCCTCCCCATCCTAGCCAATGCAAGGATTCGTCGAGTTGACTAGAGAATTGGATGGGGTGAGGATGGTATTTGTCCGTCCTGCTCCATTCTTGAAATTACAATTATACTTTATATAAAATCTATGATTATTAACTCTTAAAATTTATTTTTCATATGAACTATCATTTTTTTTACTATAATTTAAAATTTGATAATAGAATGAATCGAGACGAGATGAAAACAAAAAATTAAATGAGGCATCGGTGTCTCGTGGGATTCTCGTCCCCATTTAAAGCGATGATGGTATGTGAAATATTGCTTTGTGTAGGGTTTAGGGTGGGGATGGGGTAAAATTTTCACAGCCATCCCCACCAATGCTCCGCCTCAAATAGGGATAGAAATATGAAGAGCAACATCGTTGTTAGTGATCCCTACGCAGCCATGGTTCTAAATGATGACGTCTTTTTCCATTTTATACCATATATAATTATATTCTTTGGACTATAAAATTTTAAAACAAAAGGTGCTTGTTTTCTTTTCTATCCGAAAAAGTTCTGACACAGATTTCCTGCCCTTTTCAGTGGCGGTTCCTTTGGTATATATATATATTTGTTTGAAAAAAAACAAAAAAGAAAAATCCATAGGTGTGCCGTTTGTAAAAAAAAAAAAAAAAGAAGAAAAATTGAATTTTTTATTATTTAAAACAGAAGTTATTAAGTACAAATTAATTCAACATCATAAACACTACCAGAATCTCACTCAACATTGAAGAACAAAAAAAGGAAAAAAAAAGGATTAAAAAGCTATCCTTATATGGTGCACAAAAGACTTTGGCATTTAAGTGTGCAAATTGATCAAATCAATCCTTGTATTTTAACTATGGATATATAAACCCTCAAATGTCAACTTATAGTAGCATGTGGTCCTATCCAATTACATGTGTACTGTTATTAGATTCCAACAATTAATGAAAGATCAAGTGAACTAAAAAATCAATGGCAATTCATAAATATTAGGTCGAAGTTTTATTGAAAGCGAATTTTCAAAAATTGATGTTATAGAGAGGAAATCCAGAGAAAGAAAATAGAGGGAAGAGTTCACAAGAGGTTAATAATGATTCTCTCTATAATTTTTCTTCTCTAATATAAGATTAATCCCTCAATTTGCCAACTAACTCTGTAACATACTTTCTTGTCAATTATGCATTAAGAGAAATTTTATAATACACAAGAAGTAACTAGTGGTATGTATAGTAGTTACTCTATGAATCCACTTGGAGGAGAGAGATAGATACAAAAAAAAAAAAAAAAAGAGAAACAAGTAGAGAGAAAAAAAAATTGAAAAAAAATGAAAATCTTCTTATCACTTTTGGTGGATCCAAATATAATTTTATGTGTCTATTTCTCCGATGCGGTCCAAATCCAACAAACAAGAATTATGAATGAATGTAGCAATCAACCAAATCGAGAGGAAGAAATGCGGAATAAAACAAAAATATTGCACTAAAGATTTGTAAATGTTTTCATTAAGAACAATGAAATCAGTGAACAAGCCTTTGTAATGAACCCAAGAATTATAAGAAGAATTATGATGAAAATAGAGAGAAAATGCAAAGAGAAATAGCGAGAGAGAATCATTTCCACATGCCGAATAATGATCCCCTCTCTTTCCTCTTTCTGTTTTATGTTTGTTAGCTAACAAATAATGCTAACAAATTAGCCGTTAGACACGACTAATGTTTCAATTGCTAGCTACTAATATATTAACACGTCATTAACTAATACGTGCTAATTACATTCCTTTATTCGAGTTTCTTCTTCTTCAACCTTAAGCTTCGCTCCCACTAAAGCTCTACACCCTCTACCTTACGACGCCTCTCGCTCCACTTCATTTCCATACCGTCCGCCTTCCTAATCGAGTCCTTCAAGTAAGCTTTGTATTACTCTCTCCTTTAAGTAGATTCATAGAGTAATTACTATATATGTCACTAGTTACTTATCGTGTATTATAAAATTTCTCATACATTAACTTCTTTTCTTCACATGTAACTTTCAACGGTTTTTAATTAATCTCACGCGATTTTCTTAATATTTGACGCTGTTTGATATTTTTCCATTGTTATCCGATGTTCCAATACCTTTGTTATTTGATGCTCAAGTGCAAATCTCTTGTCGTTTTGCATTAACCTTGTATCTTGTATTCATTGCTAACATCTAAGGAACAGGAGTTGTACAGAAGGATTACGTGCAACTATAAATTGAAACTTAACGCGATGGTTTTGCCATGCTCAAAATTCCAAGTACAGAGACTGATTTAACCAATTTCTAAAATTTGAGGGACCGCATATTGAATTTGATCAACTGACAAATTGCCCCGAAAGAGGGTGCGCAAATAGTTTTATCAACTAATGCCTCTTCAATAGTACATCCCAAATTGGTCGATTCATGCAAAGTGGTCCATTGGACACCCGAAGGCTGGATCCAGTTAGCCATCCTCTCTGGCTCTAGAATTCTCAAAAACAGTGAACTACTAATATTTCAAAGGTTTTCATATTTGAACCTTCTATTTTTTATTAAATTTTTTTAAATTTGATTGAGATTTTTTATTTATTGAAATTTCTTATTTCAAATATTCTATTATAATACCATCAATCGAGTGATCGATACTTTTTTAAAATTTGTTATTTTATAATGTCATATGTTGTCATGTATTGATTATTGATCTATACTGTTATAATAAAAGTTTTGAAATAAATTTTTTTAAAAAATACTAAGTTTTAAGTAAGTGAAAAAATAATAGACGATTTCAATAAAAAAAGTCAAAAGATACAGGTTTAAATATTGTAGAGAAAAACCGATAACCTGGGCAATGATCTTTGATCTTCAAACGCTAACTTTTGTGAAATTTTGCTGTTCATCGTCATCCTTCTAGGAGAAAGAAAAAATATATATATATATATCAGGCATTGAACAATTTGGATCTAAGCCTTCGGAACATGCATGTATGTCAAATATGATTAGAGAGTTCAAGTTGATCCTTTGATCGTGGACTTAGCAATTGATTAAAAAAAAAAGGGCAATTGATAGAAATTTCACAAAACACATGCAAATTCATGACAGGAGAGATTTGATGACTAGAAAAAAAACGAAAATGGGAATAACATTAATTCCCACTCATCCATGCTGAGAATTGAATGAGACAAGAAGATAAAAACAGCTAGAGAACTGAATAAAATACTTACTAATTAAAAGATTACTTCCCCAGATTTCCTAAACATCCACTACATAGAAATTAGTTAATTTATCTCAAAGATAATTAACAAAAAAATCTTGATGATCGATGTGAAGCCAGCTCACAAGCTGGTTAGGGTGAAGGGAAAATTATATGCTAAAAGCCTTCAAATAATACATCATCCAAAGGGCTAAACCTCCATTAATTCACCTTGATGCCTTGTTTTTGTACAATTTTTTTTTTTTACAATTCTGAGAGTCAAAAAAAAAAAAAACCAAAGAAAGGAAAGTAAAGATCATCACCACCCAAATATGTCTTTTTTAAGAAACCTGATCTTGCTTGAGAATAAAAAGTTTCCATCCAAATGTTTGATGCCTCTTTAACATTTTTCCAAGCGATCAATTTTTTCAGTCTTGTCTGTTTGAGTTGAATCAGAAATAAGATTTCCTTCACAATCATACATAATTTTCCCTGAAAAATCCAGGGGTCTACACCTTTCCCCCATGATGATTGACCTCCTCCAAATCTCTTCACTACCATCATCATCATCATCATCAAAATCCTCATCTTGCACCTGCAGCTTCCTCCAAGAAATCATCTTCACCATTGAGTGAGCCCTTTCTCTAATATCACTATTTAGCTTTGAAAGGAGCTTCTTCTCACTTGAACGTGAAGTTAAACTTTCCTCATCTTTTAGTCTGTGAGATTTTTTGGCTTTCCGATGAGAAGCACATAGAAAAGTTACAAGAGAAAATACACTAAGTACTGCCACGAAAGCAAAGAAATAGGAAACTGGGATGCTTGATAAAAATGAATGGTTTTGCATGGAGAGGGCTAACAAAGACCTTGCCATGGAAACCAGAGACAAAGAAAACAAGTACAGTGAAGGAGAAGAAATGTTGAAAATTAAAGCTTAAATCTGTTTGCATCAATGATAATGCCAATTGCCATGCACCCGTAATTATATACGAATCACTTAGAGGATAAGATCACTCAAACCTTCACCATTAAAATTACCAAAGAGTCCCCGATTGGTCAACAATTCATGGGTCCATTGATGACGTGGCCGTTTCGTCTTGCGTTGGAGCTGACATGTCATTCCTTGATTGGGTGAACTGCCATGTGGGCTCTGCCGTTTAACACAAGTTCATACTGACTTGACCATTGACTTGGGTCGTGCTTGAAGGTTCGAAGCCATTTTGATCTTTTTACCAGTCAATATTGTTGAATCGTATCCTTAGTTATTGAAAATTAGGCTAATTTGTGGTCTATGCCTTACCTTGCCTTTTCTTGCTTTGTATTTGAAGAAAGAATTGGAGAGGCTTCTAAGCAAAGACCATGAAGCACCAGAAACTTTCTGAATTGTTTTATTAGATTATTGGTAGGAATCTCAGTATAATCTGTCTCCTATGTCACAAAACATCTTCTGCTTATTCAATATTAGAGATTGGTGGATAGGGTTGAGGTAGGGCAGATTGTTTGGTTATGGTAGGCATGGATTTTTTTTTCCTTTTCATAGGTATCTCCATCTAATATTGAAAATATGATTAATTTTGTTTAGAACGAAAATGATAAAGTTTAATCTTTCTAAATAAATGAGACATTAAGATTCGAATTTTGAATATTGATAGGAAATTTATTTAGAGATTAGCTCGTTTATTACCGAACCAATAATTTGTTGATTAGATATAATTTTTTTTGGGAAGGACTAAACTAAAGTTATAGAAAGAATATGTGATTAATTATTAAGATTACTATTTTGACCCGTCCTTTTATAATAAGTTAAATTTTTAATTTGCTTTCGTTAAATTTATCTTTATATTTTGAGTTGGTTTCTAATATATTATTTTGGTTATAATTTGATATCATTTCTAGCGAAATTAAATATGTAATTTGCACATTATATCTAATTTGATAAAATTATCTTTATTATTTGACATAATTGATCTATATCTATTAATATAAAGATTAATTTTTAAAAATTGATCAGATATTGTGATAAAAAAAATAGATTTTAATATGACTTGTTATATAAAGACAGATCAAAGTATTAGCCTTAATTATTAATTTTTTTTCCCTTACGTAGAAGAGGTTTACAGATTTTTAACCAAACTAATATCGAAACACGCACGGTTACTGCCGAATCCAAAAGACACGGTAAAAAATGGAAATGATTTCAAACCATATCCAAACAATATGATAATTGGAATTATGCCCTGTCATTCTATCGTAATGAGAATTGATTTCCTTGTAAAGCATCATATAGGTTTTGGAATTTTATTCATTTGCTCCCTTCAATCTTTTACCACAATAATTTTGGATAATTTATTCAATTTTTTATGTTAATAATTCGTTCAATAGACTTGTCTTAATTATTCCCAATTTGACTTATGTGACATCGTTCATCTGTATTAAGATTTATCCGCCATCCTTTTTTTTTTTTTCCCTTCTAGAGCTATAAATTTCTTGTCCTTGTTATATATATATATATATATATATATATATATATATGGGGATCAAACTGCATCATTCTCTTCTTGAATTTTAATTCATTTAAAAATCAATATTTAATTTTTTAATTTTAAATTGATTTTTCTTGAATTTTATTTTTAATTTTGAATTGATCTTCTATGAACTTTATTTGCTTTTAAAATTTAATTAATTCTATAATTTTCAGCAATTACTTATTTTACTTAAAAATTACATTTAATCAATTTTATAATTTTGAACTATCACTTATTTTCTATTTAAAAAAAATCAAGTTTTAATATTTTGAGATTTTTGACTATCATATTCTATAATTTTCGGCTTTCACTTATTTTTTCTTAAAATTCAAATTTTAATATTTTGAAATTTTCGGCTATTACTTATTTTTCTAAAAAAAATCAAAATTTAATATTTTTGAAATGAAATTTCGAGAAACTATTTTGAAAACCGTAATTTATTTTCTAAAAAATGTATAATTTTTAAAATGGAAAAATATTTTTTTTATTTCCTAAATATTAAAAATGTAGGAAAAGAAAATCTGAAATACTCTCAATTTTTTTTTAAAAAAATAAATCATAGAGATAAAATTATTTATACGACCTTTATTAAAAAAAAACTAAATTTTAATTTTAAAATATCATAAAGCTAAAAATATATATACGGCCGTTATTTTTATAAAAGAAAAACTACAATCTAATTTAAAAAATCATAGAGCTAAAGCTATATAATCCACCGTTATTTCTTAAAAAAAAAGAAGCTAAAATTTATTTTAAAAAATCATAAAGCTAAAACTACATATAAAACCGTTATTATTATTTTTTTTTATAAAAAACTAAAATCTAATTTAAAAAATTATAAAGCTAAAACTACATATACGACCGTTATTTTTTTTTATATATAAAAAACTAAAATATAATTTAAAAAAACCATAAATCTAAACCTATATAGACGACTATTATTTGTTTACGAAAAACTTAAAAATAGAGTAAATCTTCAAACACAAAATTCAAATCAAATACCAATTTTCAAATAAACAAAAATTTGAATAATGTATATTCAGTAAAAAAAAAAAAAAGAAAAAAAAATTCGCCCACAGTAATAAGGAAGTAAATCATAGATTAATCTTTCTATTTTGAAAAATATAAAATTAATTAATTCCTCTTTTTTCCCTCTCAATATTGATCATACTTAATTTACTATTACTTCTATTTTATATTTTTAAATTAGAAATTAAAACAAAAAGAATTAAGTTAAGAAAATAATTAATTATTTAAAAAATAATCAATTCGTTTCTCGAATTTATGGAAACTAATTTATAATTTACTCGAAAAAATAGATATTTTGTGCCACCCTCACAAAAATGATACGGATATATGTAATCACCAGCTCTTGAGCCAAGTCACCCATAAACCTTACTATATATGAACATAAATGTCCAAACATTACTAAACAATGAAGCTGTCGATAGGGACACGTGAAGAATCACTACGCTAATATCAGAAATTATGGGAGGTTTTAATACACATGAAGAAACAGATCCTTACTAAAAAGAAATGCAAGGCAAGTAAGCAATGCCATCCATAAAAGCCAGTTAGACATTGTCATTTATTTTAGTTTATAATCATATTACAACAAACAAACAAAGAAAACATACATCTAAATTACGTTTTTCCTTTTCTTTTCTCGGATAAAATCGAAGAACATTACATCAAGCAAGTAAAGTAGGCAACACAAACCAGAGAAACCCTCGTCAGAAGTAACCATTAGATTGGGATTGCATGAGAGACTCGGGGGTAAACAACAGCGGCGGGATGTGCCATGATCCTGCGGCCTTTCATGCGTTTAAAGAGATAAACAAACGCCCCCAATGGCCATTCCACGACCGCCGCCGCAGCAAACGCCAAGAACCCAACAGTTGGACCGACCACCTTACACCGGCAAGGGTTACTGGTGGTGCCGCATTGGACACATATCGGAATTCCACCAGCCATGATATTATATATTGCAGAAACGTTTGCTTTTCGCACCAACAAGATAAAACAAAACAACACAAATTGGCCGTAGAAGAACAACGATTAGATGGGATATCGGAAGAAGTGCTAGCAATGGATTGAAAAGGGAAAATCAATGAAGAGGACGAACTCTATGGTTGAAATTAGGAAGTGGGCTTCCAATGTTTTGAGGAGTTTGTGAACAGTTTTTTATAGGATTTTTCGAGGACAGGGCAGATTTGATTGGGTTATGGAGAGTGAGTGCAACGTGTTATTGTTACATGGCAGTGGTTGCTACGTGTTACTTGTATAGGGACACGTGTTATTTTGTCGTAAAGGCAAGAGACACGTGTTTTGGTTTCATTTTTTTGCTGCTTGTTCGGAAGAATTTTGTAGTTAGGGATAACCTTTTTTTTCCACCGTATTTATCATAATCTTTTAAGTCCTGTATGGGCCGATGACTTGAATATTGAGTAAATTATAAATTAGTTTTTTTTTCTTTTAGTTTTACAATAAATTAAATAGCTTTTTTAATTTAACTTTAAAACTAATCATTTAAATTTTTATTCATTTTGTGCTTTTTTCTAAAAGTTATTTTGTTATATAAAAAATATAAAAGATAATAATAAATAAATATAAAGAAAGGTTAATATATATATATATTTTTTTAAAAAAAACTCTTGAATCATATATTCAATCTATAGAATCCGTAGCTAGTAGCCGTCGACAAAAATAAAGAGGATCAAAACCCCGATTCATAAGATCCAGGCATGAAGCATACTGCTCTTACAAGAGTGAAGGCCACTTAATTTGTAACAAAGTTTATAATCAAATTATGAATAGACTCACTAATAACCTTACGATCTTCAACAATTAAACCTAGAATCGAAGGTAACCTTTCGGAACTATAAAAAACACTAACTATGTTAGAGATATTATATTTGGGTTTAAGGGAGCGAGCTTACGATAGAAAGAAGGAAAACTAGAAGGGAAAAGGAAATAAAGGAGACGAGTAGAAAAGAGGTGAGGAAAGTATGTGAATAATTCTTGTTGTCCTTTTTTCCATTCATTCCTCTTCTTTTATAATTAGTTTACGTAACAACTATAACGAATACGTAATATCACTTTTACGACTTGCATATTCTTAGCTCATATAACGGAATCACATATTTATTTGTGACAAGTGTAATCGGTGTATTTTGTTGGCATTTTCCTTGCACGAGCTTTTCTTCGGTTGTTGTTGTTTTGTGGGCTTAACTGGGTTTGATCCGGGTCGATTGCGAAGAATCTGCAGTAGCTCGGCTCGCAACATTGTCCTCCCTTCAAAAGAAACCTTGTCCTCGAGGTTGAAGGTTGGATAATCTCGACGAAATTCATGGATGGGTTCCCAAGTAGCATCGAAGGTGATTGATGTTCCCATTGAATCAAAACTTGAGGACACGGTGACCTTGCTTGGATGATTTTTATGAATCCCAATACCGATGCTTGGTTGCAAAATAGGATGGTGATCCACAAAATGTTGGGGTAATGGAACTTGTTGAACCAACGGGGTTGCTAACACATTTTTTTATGTTCGAGACGTGAAACACATTATGTATATATGTAGATGGAGGGAGATCCGACCTATAAGCTATTGAACCCACACGTCCAATGATCTTGAAGGGACCAAAGAAGCGTTTGGAGAGTTTGTTGGATTGCCTATGAGCTAGGGAGGATTGTCGATACGGTTGTAGTTTTAAGAAAACCCGGTCGTCCACTCGCAAAGGATACATCGATACGCTCGCAATTTGTTTGATTACGCATCCCGGTTTGAGCTCGAAGTAGATTATCTCGTAGAATGGCTAACATAGTCGAGCGCGACCGGAGCATCTCATCAATAGCAGACAACGAAGAAGTGTCACCCACATAATCTAGCGAGTGATGGAGGTGATTGACCAAAAACGACCTCAAATGGGGTCATTTTAATAGCTGAATGCCGGGACGTGTTTTAGTGCCACTTCGTCTAAGGAAGGAATTGTAACCACTCGCTTGGGATTGTCCGAAGCAAAGCGGCATAGGTAGTCCTCGAGACATCGATTCAAGACTTCAATTTGACCGTCCGTACGGGGGTGATAAGCGCCGCTGGTGGCGAGAGTGGTGCCTTGAAGCTCGAACGACTCACACCAAAAGTGGCTCATAAATATGGGATCACGGTCCGAAATGATGCTTGGATGGAAACCTATGAATGCGAACAATTTCGCGAATAAAGATTTCAGCAACTCGAGGAGCGAGAGAATTGGGGTCCAATTGCTTGAGAAATGAGCATGCTTGTATAGTCCGTCCACCACTACCATGATTGTTGTTTTACCGACGAAGGGGGTAGGTGAGTTCCAAAATCCATGGAAATGGATTCCCATATTTTTTAGGAATGGGCGGAGGTTGGAGGAGCCCTCGGGGGCTTGGTTAAAGGGTTTGATGGTCCGACATACAACACATTTTGCTACAAAGTCACGTACGGATTGTCAAAGCTTAGGCCAATAGAAAATGCTCGCAATTTTGGCTAAGGTGCGTCGCATGCCAATATGTCCTCCGACGGGGAATTATGAAACTCTATCAAGATTAATGGTTGGAATGCGGAATCGGTAGGTATAAATATTCTTCCCTTATACCATACTAAGCCATCTTTCACTATGTGCTTGTGGAAACTCAATAGGTGAGTTCGAATGGAAGCAATTAGTTGAGCCAAAGTTGTATTAGTCTTGTAAAATTCCCACGGTGCATCCCACGAGTGCTATGAAAGGTTTGGAGGCCATTTGGAGAGTAAGGAAGGAACCCCGTGAAACACGGGATAATGCATCCGTTGGTTTATTCTCCACTCTGGGTTTGTAAACAATATCGAAATCATATCCGAGCGAGCTTGGTTAGCCACTTCGCTCGCTCGGGGGTTTGGATGACTTGATTGTGGAGGGCCCTAAGACTTTGGTGGTCCGTCCGAATAGTAAACCGACGCCCAAGAAAGTATCGGCGCCACTTTCTAATTGACTCGGTTATGGCCAACATCTCTCGAGCATAGGTGGAGGTAGCTTGAAGACGTGGAGATAGCCTTTTACTAAAGTAAGCAATGGGATGTCCTTGTTGCGATAGCATCGCCCCAATACTTGTGCCGGATGCCTCCGTTTGTAACACAAATGGCTCTAAAAAATTTAGAAGGGCCGAACATGGGTGCTTGACAAGGCTTGTTTCAACTCTAAGAATGCCTTGGTAGGCTGTAGGAGACCATACAAATGCATTCTTGCATAAGAGCTAGGTCAAATGTGCTACAACGAAGGAATACCTTGCAACAAATCGACGATAGTAACTCGTTAAGCCAAGAAATCCTCGTAAACTCTTAACGGAATCGGGTAATGGCCATTCGTTGGATGACAATTACCTTGTCGGGATCTACTACTACCCCTTTAGCTGAAATCTTATGCCCAAGATAACCCAAGTCCGAACAATCGAACTCGCATTTAGATAGCTTAGTAGACGAGAGAATGGATTGTAAGGTGAAGAATACCATCTCCAGGTGCTTCTAAATGTTGCTCCCAAAAGGAGCCGTATACCAAGATATCATCGAAGAAGACGAGGACAAATTTACGTAGCATGTTCTTGAAGATAGAATTCATCAAAGCTTGAAAAGTCGAGGGGGCGTTAGAGAGGCCAAAGGGCATCACCAAGAACTTGTAGTGACCCTCATGGGTGCGAAATGTCGTCTTTTCAATGTCCGATGGGTGGATCCCGACTTGATGATAACTTGCACGAAGATCAAGTTTAGAGAAAACACAAGCTCCATGAAGCTCATCCAAGATTTCATCCACTATGGGAATTGGAAAGCGATCCTTGGTTGTGACTTTGTTCAAGGCTCGGTAGTCGACGCAAAAACGCTACGAACCATCCTTCTTCTTCACCAAAAGCACCGGTGAGGAGAAAGGACTAATGCTAGGGCGAATCACTCCATCTAAAAGCATTTCTCCAACCAGACTTCTCTATTTTAGATTTTTGAAAATGTGAGTATCGGTATGGGCGGACATTTACCGGTGGTGTGTTTGGTATCGGAGGTATGTGATGGTCAAGTGGTCTTGGAGGGGGTAGTCCAAGAGGGTAGCGAAGATGCTCCCAAACTTAGAGAATAGGGTCCGTAAGGAGACAAGAAGGTGGAAGGTGCATCGACTCCTGTAATAGGTTATGTTGAGGTTTGGACCGACTTGTATGGAGAGATGGTAGTATTGGGCTACCGATTGGGTTTATGAGAAATGTTTGAGGGGTTGTAGGGTTATGTGGGCCAATGAGGGTTGTTGTAAGCCAATGAGACGGATAGTTGACCCTTGGTGTTGGAATTCCATCCATAGTGCCTTATAATCAAACAATATAGGTCCTAATTCGGATAACCACTGCACACCCAAAACCAAGTCCGCATCGTATATGGGGAGGAGAAGCAGGTCTACCGAGAATTTTGTATGACCCGGTTGGAAGAGGGTTTGGAGGCAAGTCCCCCGCGGCCCGGAGAATCTCTATTTCCCACTCGTCACTTTAAGGTGGGAGGAGGGCGGATGGGCGAGCCAAAATGAGAAGCCAACCTTGATTGAATAAAATTATTGATGGAGCCCTCATCTATTAGAACCGTGACGAGGTGCCCATTTATTGAGCTTGCCGGTTTTAATGTGGAAGGAACCATTTGCCCGGTGAGAGCATGGAAGGAGATCTAGGGTATTTCCTAAGCTTGGTCGTCCTCTTCGGTGGGTTGTGCGACGTCGGAGGGTGTTTCACCATCGGCCCGATCTTCATCGAAGGCTTTTCCCCACACTCGGCCATGAGGCGGAGGAACCGAAGGGGTCCGCATCGGTGTCCGGTGTAAACTTCTCATCGCATTTGAAGCGAGAGGCCCTTTTCCCTCCGAGCGACCATCTCGGATGGAGTGAGTCATTTAATGGGAAAAGAAGTCTGGTTTTGTTGGTGAGTGGGTCCGGGTGGTTTGGAAATTT